AGAAAACAGAAGTTATATTACGATCTGAAACGACGGGGAGTAACTTATAAAGTAGGGGATGAAGTACTAAAAATTAAGCATTCACTTTCTTCAGCACCAGAAGATAAAACTGAAAAATTTTTTCCACGATTTGAAGGACCATATGTTATAGAAAAAATATAACTCACGCTGTTGTAGTGTTAAAGGCCAGAAAAATGGTGAAACTTGTTCCGCAAATATTGATCAAATTAAGCCCTACTTCGATCGTAATAAAATGCAAATCTTTTCAGATCTTTTGCAGGATCCGGCACGGCAGACACCGCAGGTACAAGTTCCAGAGGTGGGAAAACGACAAGTACAAGGGCAAGCCAATGATAGACAGAAGCAAGTGAAAAGAAAATTGCCCCGCGCGGAAAAAAAAAATTGAAGGTAAAAAGAAAAAGAAGCCATTCCACCGTCCAGAAAACAGAGTTCACGAACACCCCCAGAATGAAGAAGGGAGAAGGAGGAAGAAGGACGACGTATGTGAAGAGGACCAGGAGAAAGGACGGCAACTATAACCCGGCTTTAAAACGGAGGAGGATCGACTCATCCGACAGAACTCTCCGCAGCAAAAGTCGCCGAACTGCGGAAGGGCCATCAGCGGCGGAGGAAAAAGTACAAGAAAAATTTGAACGGCCAAACAACGAGGTCCAAGCAGGATCACGACAGAAGTTTCCCGGTTCCGCCAAAACCAGCTGCCTTCAAACGGCCAAGACCACAAGCAGAGGGGAAAAGGAAGGTGTTCAAGAGTGGCCGTACTGGTGAAAAAAAAACGGAAGCTTCCAGAGGAAAGCACTGAAGGGCGAGCCCGTACAAGAAGGAGGATAAACCAGGCTACGGTCTGCAGTACCTTTAAAGACTGGGCCCAGAAAAGGATGTCCGAATATTACAAAGATAAGTAAAATTTTATGTTACGTTGCAAACTTAAGTTAATCTTTCATTCTTACTGCAAGTGGCAGATTTCAAGAAGTTTTACCTCATGCGAGGTCTACCTTTATCGCCAAAAGGGCGAGAAATGAGTTGTGACCGATTTTTCTTATTATGTTTTTCAATTACTCGCGCGCGTAAAACTAAAGTTGATGTATAATAGCGTTGTGTAAAGACTTAAATATTGTAAAAAGTTATTGTATAAATTTTATTTAAAACATTCTAGCAAGAAAGAAAGAAGTTTTAGTTTGAAAGACTTTTTGAAATGTAGTATTATTTCAATGTAGAAAGAATTGGCACTTGCTTTGAAAAGAATAGAAGTTAACAATGTACTACTAATGTATGTTTTCAAATGTGTAAAATTAACGGCATGTTGATATGTTCTTATATACATGTGTTCTGTTATTTTAAATGTTAAGAAATACCGTGATATGGTAAAAGTAAAGTGAAAGTAATGTTAAAAATTTGTTATTCGTGTGACTGTAAAGACTAAATCATGGCGAATATATGTTAAAGGTTGTTGAATGATGTAGTTAGGCTCTCTGACGCTACACTTTAGAGTTAGCCACTTTTAGAATAGTACCTCAGGGTTTAGAGTTGAAAGTAGGGTGTGTTAAGAGGTCTCGTTATGTTGAATTTTAACACGTTAGTGTTTTGATTGTAGGAGGAAGTGTTGAACACATAGACATAAACACATTCGTGTTTGGTGTTCTTTTACAACACATGTCAGAGAGCAAGGGGAGAGGGGAGATAATAATTAAAATAGTCATGAATGAAATAAGAATGTTAAGAGAAGTATATTCTATATGTTATTTGCAATGTCATTGTGTAACATTTCATTAAACTAGTTTTCCTTCCAGATCTCTGGAAGGAACCAGAATTGAATAAAGCTCCTGTTTAGATGCAGTACAGATGAAAAAAAAAAAAAAAGATTGTTGTAGATCCTGGGAGCTGCTATTGTAACAAAATTTCTTTTCTTTTAAATTTTTTCTAGTTTCTAACGAAGTTATGATTGTAAAAGGTTGGCCTCGCGTTAGATTCTAGAGCAAAAAAGTTTTCAACAAGGTCGTTTTAGACCTCAGTTTCAAACTAATTAACTCTGGCGGGAAGTATGTAAGGATCTTAAGTTTTACTAACGTTTATTTTATTTTAAATCTTTACTATCACTTCTTGTTTTCTACTTCCGGCCAGAATTATAAGCGTGAAGGTTTTTATGCAAAGTTTGTCTGGCGAACGCCAAGTATTTAAGTGTGGCCTTTTTGCCAAGCGAAAGAGAGGAAGCAGTGAGTTCGAAGCAGGCCGCTTACCTTAGAAGTTACGCAGTTGCTATTTGCCTTCCAGGCCAGAGGTTTTAATCCTCTTAATAAATTAAACGTATTGTAGTGTTCACAGTCTCTGTGCTACATACGCTTCTTGTTATTATAAGGCCAATCTTCCACGTGTGTTATTCTAAAGTTAAATTAGAGTTTAGTTTTATTTTTATACCTTTTTACGTTAGACCCCGAGTAGAGGGTCATTGTATTCCGAAGTACGGAAGTCATTGTATATAAAGAAAAATAAAGGGTTTTGTATACCCTTCGTCTGTATCCTGTCTACTTACTACAATTAGTGAAAATAGCTTTAGTAAGCTCTCTGTTCCTAGTCAGGTCACTGTATGTTTCCGAAGAAGGTTAGAAGAAACATTGAACCTGATACTACTTTTGTAACTAAAAATGATTTTATTAATGTTAAAAATAAATCTTTTTTTTTTTTTTATTATTTTTGTTTTCAAATTTGTACTATGCACAAGACTAAAATTTTTTTAAAAAAATATATTAATTACATGGCAATAAAGCTGCAGCACGCGTATGTAAATGTACATATGCATATTTAACAAGGATGGCACTGTTATATGTAGATATATGTATATGCATTTCGACATTTTCAGATTTTTTGAAATGCAAAGATATACATATACCTGAAGAGTAATTTTGCAGTAGATTTGGTTTCATATTTTTTTATTCAAGCTGGATTCTCTCGTCCATTTCTTGCAATCTTCAATTTTATCATAGGGTTAATACCCTATGATAAAATTGAATAATTGATCATAGGGTTAATACCTCTTCATTTTCCTTCATGAAAAATGGCATTTTGGAAGACCATGACAGCAGTAACACTGTAAACTTTTCTAATAGATATAGGTAACTAATATTTAAACACTGTAAGTGTTTATATTCGGATTATCAAACAGACCATGAGAAAATAATTTTCCTTCATACAGTGCTTATCTACTTTTGAAATCGTGTCAACACTTTAATTACCAGAACTTTCTCTTCTGGGCATGTACAGTAAGCAACTGATTAACACTGGCTAACTCAATGTATGGTCTGCCTTTACGACCCTACATATACACAGGGTTGCCCTCAAATAGGAGAATGAAATTCTTTGACTTTTCCAGGTGTGTTTTAAGAGAATTCCAGTCTATCCGCATAATACACGTTGGCTGTGCTAAGAAGGTAAATTAATTATGGTACCGCTTGAAAACAAAAAATTTGCCAATTACGTACGACTTATATATATATATTATACATAATCCCCAAAGCATTACTATTACAACTATAATAGGAGTTGTTTTCTCCACTGAAGATTGAGATTAGAATCTGCCCAATCTGGATTAAAAAACGTCTTTTTTTTTTCTTTTTTTTTATACATTTTGCAGCTAAATGAAAGAAAAATCTATTTAATGGTATTTTCAAATAAATTCAGGTATTTTATATTTATTTATTAGCATACATAAGCAATAAATATGTTCATTGAATTTCGTGATGGTATGTCATCCTACTGCTAGAATTAATTTCAGGATTAATGCCAGAGAAAATTTCCTGAAATTTGAAAGTACTATTTAATACTAATAAATAAATTTAGACGGAAGAAGCAGCATTAAATGATACAAATAACATTAAAATAAAGATAACCATTTAAAAACTGAATTAGAATAATGAACGATTATTTTGGCGACTATAGTTATATTAAATGGTTAGCCAGTATACTGATTACTATTTTTTATTTTACAGCTACGGCCTTGGCACGATTTTGAAAATTGTCGCCAACACTAAATTGACCGTTGCTGCTCATCATAACGTCCCCAAATTCCGTGTATACGGTGCATGGAGGTTTAGAATAGAATACATGAAAGCTATTCTAATCCCCATGGTACCCTATACTAGGATTAAATCAATTTTATTTTACACGAGAATATGTATTTTCCTTAGTTCAACATCCACTGCATATGCGCGTCTGTCGATTCTCGATGTTACTGGGAACTTGCTTTAACTTTCTAAAACACAATCTTATTGGAGCTGCGAAAATTGGCTTTATACCAGCTGGCCTCACGCGGTACACAATTCGCCAAAACAGGTGATCGCTTCCAACGTCGGAGCAAAACTCGCTTTTTGGGGGGCATCGCCGTATGAAATTTCCTGACTTTTCCAGATTTGGGCTAAAATATTTCAATTACCTGACATTTCCCTGAATTTTTTGGTCAATTTTCGAATTCCCCGACTTTTCCAGGTTTTCCCAATTTTCCAGGTAGCACGACAACCCTGTATACAGCTTTGTATTGCAATTATTTGCACATATCCAATGATCCAGCAAAATACCATTTTCTTGAAGAAAAATTACAGACTTTCTGTAAGTCTTTATGCTTCAACAAGTGTATATGATTAAACCCAAACATTTAAAATACTACTACAGCTAGAAAACAATAATTTTAATGACAAATAAATACAGTCTCTTAGTTACATTCATAAACAGGGATTCAGCATTTGGTGATACAAAGTTAGATAGTGCAGTATTTGCCCTGCTTAAGATTGCAAAGTTAGATGATGGATTTAAACAAAACATAGCTTAAAATTTAATGAAGAAGGCCACAATTAAAGACTGCCAACTTTATTGATTATTACACAGCTGCTTTATGGGCCAGTGTAAATGCAAAGGTTAGCAGGATTGCTAAATATTTTGTTACACCAGAAAATAGTTTAAAAGGCATAAAGGATAAATGATGATTAGACGAGAGGGGGAATAGCAGTCAGATTAAATTCATCTTCTTCTGGCTGAAAACAACATCATCATTGGTATTTTACATCTTTTCCTCACCTAAACTTTTTCAATCTTGTTCCTTTTCCATCAGTCTATTTCCATTTCTACTCTTCTGAAAAGTAATATCACTGAAAATGTTACTTGTAAGTTTTATACTAAATAATATTTTACTAGAATTAAAAAATTCTACTATCTATGATGCATTTTCCCTTCAATTATGAAAAATGTACATCCATGGCATCTTCGTGTCCTTAGGTGACTACTTAAGCATGCTTAATGGTAAAAACCAGCAATGACATGAGAATTACATGAAAAGGTTGTGCATCATTAGCCATTTTGTTTTACACATAACACAATACCATCATCTTACTTACCTGGTAATTCTCAGATTAACTGTATACAAACATTCTATACTTTATAACAGAGGGACCGGAAAGTAATGTTGTTTCTGCACATGTCGACAACAACATGCTAAGGGCAGAAGTGGAAGCAAATCCATGTCAAACACTCTTAACCAATCTTAGTCGACCATCCAAGAACATTTAAAGCAAAATGGAAAAATAAGCAAAGCAGGTGTTTGAGTCCCCCATAATCTGTCCGAAAAGAACAAAGCCAATCGATCCATCACATGCAACGTATTGCTTCAACAGCACCATACAGAAAAATGGGTCCTATATGATATGATAATCCAAAACGCAAAAGGAAATTTTAATAGGGGTTACAAAGGGTTTACATCCCAAAAAGGTGCTTCTGTGTGTTTGGTGGAGCATTCGCGGAATTGTTCATTTTGAATTGCTAAAACGTGGACAAACTGTTAATGCAGATCTTTATTGTGAACAATTGGATCGAGTGAACCAATCTTTAATCGAAAAATATCCGGCGATTGTCAATAGAAAAGGCATCATTCTGCAACATGACAATGCAAGACCGCACCGTGCAAGATGTCCAAAATGTCATCTTGAGATATTTTACTCAAAAAGTAATTGATTTATATCGGTCTGGGGATTGAAAATCTGCACACTAGATGGCAAAAGGTTGTTTATAACGAAGGTGATTACATTATTGATTAAAAATAAAAACGTGTTAAAAATTTATTCATGTGAATTACATGTAAGAAAGCGACATTACTTTCAGGTCCCCCTATTATGTTATACGATGTAAGATACAAAATTAGACAATCATAAAAGAGCTTGGAAATGGTTAGAAACAGATAAAATATATATCATGGCTAGGGTAGTTAGATTTAAAGGGCCGTTCCCCCTGGGGTTTATCTGAGCTAACGGAGTCAGTTGCATGTGTCAACTAGACCCGCTGTGGCTGCAGTTCAGATTTTTCAACTTACTACCCTATGGGAAAAACTGGTTTTGGAGATGGGTCAGCTACATCAGTTGTGTTCGTTTGCTCAGATAAACCCCAGTGGAAATGGCCCTTAAGAGGTTAAAATACACCTTAGCCCATTCAGAAGAAAATAATACAGATAACATTTTACAATGAACATAAAAAACATCGTAAGAGATGAAAATAATACCGAAAAAGATTTTGGCACTTTCTGATTATTTGTACCCCCCCCCCACTGAAAAACAGCAAAAAAGTACTGATGAGGCAATACCCACAATGTTGCAAAAAAGTGTTTATGTGGACACTCAGGATGTCACCAAAAGCTAATTATGTGGCAGCCTAGGCATGCATATAGCACATAAGTATTTGAGTACACATGGATTTGCACTTTCGAAATTCAATAGTTATTTTCCTGATTAGCACTTTTTTGGCACTGTGTACATTTGTTTTGCTGTATTTAACTGTAAATCATCTGTGGATTTTGGTTATTACAACAAAGCATGCTAGAGCTATCTGCCTAAGGGAAGGGCTGCCTTCGTGGAGGACTTTTTCTAAGAGAACTGATTTGTATACACATTACACACGAGGAAACACCATGAAAACACCTGTGCAGTCAGCCCATTCGCCTGGATTCGAACCTAGGTCAGAACTACTAGTCTTCAGAGATTTTACTACTCAGCCTAATCATCTGTGGAATTTGCCTCTTTTATTTTCTATTTTTTTAACGAATGTAAAAAGTAGATGGGACTGGATGCATCATTCAAATCATTGCCATCTTAATAACTTAAACTGTGCTGGTGCCCCTATGACAACCATTCACAGAAATGAAATGTAAATGGATTAGTATGAGGTTCCTGGGCAAATGCCTGTTGGGTTTATGTGTTAGGATGACCCAGATTGAAACAGAAATATACCCAAACAAATGTTTCTCTGTAAAGTCATCAATGAATTCCCTAATGCACTTTAAAATCACCAATGGGTTTGTAACTTTTAGGTGGAAGGTTAGGATAATCAGAACGTGCCCAAATTTTTTGTTGAAAAAAATCACATTTTCAATGAGATAAATAATGAACAAATCACCTTGTGTGATATCTTAAATCTCCTTATTCTCTGGAAGTCTAAATCCCAGTAGATCTGCAGTTTCTTGCACAGAACGCTCTCCTTTACTATAATATTGACTAAGTAACTCCTACAAAAGATGAGCTATTACAGTGTTTGACAAACTAGTATTTTGGATATTTTGTTAAGATTCAGAATGGTTTATATGCACAATAAAGTATTGTCCTGTTTTTCTGATGAATACATAATTTGGTGTAAAATACAAATCATTAGTTAATAAAAAAGGATATATACAATGCTATATTTGAGACACAAATTCTCTGCAAACATAATAAACAACAGCTCTTTCATTTCACGATGCTTGTTTTACAAATTAAAATTTTAATTTACAAAGCTTCTCTAAATTGCTAGAATAAGCCAACTCATATACATACTGTTCATATACACACTTGTGTAAGTCCATAACATTGAATGCACACAGAACTCACAATAGGTTGATAAAATTTATTTTTACAGAAAGAAACCTTTAAAGCTCTGGAACTCTTTACAAAAGCACTCATACAGTTCTCAGCATCACAGCCAATAGTTACATTTCAAACTACTAAGAATGCTACAATTACAGTTACAAATAGGGATCAAGTTCAGTACCAACTCCAGTCACACAGGGACCGGACCAAAATGTTGCCAAGCTTGGCGACAAAAATTAGTCATGATAACCACTGCCAGCTTGGCAATATCTCACCAATTTAGCGAGATAGCCATTTAGTTCAATGTTAAATAGACTTGGCCCAATAATTTTATTTTTTTGGCACAGATTCATCTCTTTCAAGCATTTCACGTTACATTCAGTGGTGTAAATAGGGGTATGCAAAGAATGCAGACACATAGTAGCCCAAGGCATTAGAGGGCCCTTAGACATTCTGCTGAATTAGATTTACAATTTTTAAATTTAGAAAGAAAATAGAAATATATTGGTTATTTTTGCTTCCATAAAAACATACATATAATGTATGTACAAAAGCAGAAGCTTGTGTAGCTTAGAGGGGAAATATTGGACAAAAGCCATTAGTGATTCTGTGTCTAGTTATAGTTTCATTACAGGCTTATTGTGAAAGCCATTTTCGAGTTTCTGGAGGCTAGCCTGTGACAGAGGCAGCTAACACAATGGGATGGAACATTAGGAACCTCTATAATTCATTAGATGTCTTTGTAAGGACTTCCAAAAATATTTTTACACTATAGCTTCACATCAGATTTTTCTCATACACATAAAGGAGTGAGCTAATTTAAGGGTAAAGATTAATAATGCTCCTCAGAACACTGTCGCTACATATCTGTTACTGTGTTTTAAAGTGTTGCTAGATAATTATAATATTGAATAACATTGAAAAAGTGAATGAATAAAGCATTTTAAATCCTACTTCTTTCTATTTAAAAATATAACTTTCTCCTTTTCATAGTTACCAATCCCCCCCTCAATTACTGGAATAACGAATTAGTAGTTAGCTTTGGGCAGTTTCTTCAAATTACCATAATACCTGATTAAAGAAATTTTGTGATGCATAGTAATTATAATACTTATTTAAATATACACAATTTTAAGAAAATTCTTTGCCAAACAGCAAATGCAACTTTTAATGAAAGTGAAATCTTACTCCATATGATAATTAACAATCAAAGGCAAATATATTTTTATGATTTTAATGCCAATAATGCTCGTTATAGCAAACTTCTGTATCCAGCAGAAAAAGAAAGTGGGGCTATTATAGCAAAAATTTCTTTAATACACCATTGGGCTTTTATACTGGCATAGTCGGCATGGGTATCAACTATGGATTTTATTGAATAGTAGTTTAAAAAAATACCTACCATAATAATATACTATTGTCAAAATTAAGAGAATTTGTAAATTATGTCTATTTTTATAAAAAGTACTGAATCAAAGGTACTAATTAAATCGCCAAAGAATTACATAAATATTCAGACTTGAATACAAAACTGTACACAGGCTTGTCTGTGAACAGTGATTGTGGAGGGTATATAAGCACACAAGATTTTTTTTGGCAATTTCTGTGAATGAACGATATTTACCTTGTTTCTTGCAAGAAGTGAGTAAATTTTTTAAGGCATCAGGTAGAATGAGAAGCCATGAATGTATAGATGATGGAATAAGATCGAGAACTGTCAGTAGATTGGAGGCAAGCGATTCACAAGTGATTGTGGTTACTGAGCTCCATATAATGCCCTCTGTCATCTCCGATTCATGCAAACAGTTTCAGGACACTGGATCCATATAGAAAAGATTTGGACAATGTTGGCTAAGATCCACAATGATGAATGACGATTGATATTCGGCACTTTTTGCAGGGCAACACAGAATTGCTGCAGCATTACAACTATCATATGAGTTGTACGCTGTGATTGGAACCCGAGTTTCACAATCTATAGTTGTACAAAGGCTTCATTAGGTAAGGCTGTAGGCCAGAAGACCCACTGTTCGCATCCCACTCACTGCAGCACACAAAACAGCACGCCTAGCGTGGTGCACGCAATGTGTGCCGTGAAGCACCATGCTTTTTACAGATGAGTCGAGATTCAGCCCACACAGATTTTCAGCACAACCTGTATCAGGAAAAAGCTTGAACATGATAACAACAATCTGTCATCGAGGAAATGGTCATTACTGCTGTGGAGATGTAATGGTTTGGGCAGGCATTATGTTGGATACCCCTGCATGTGTTTGAGAAAGGTTCCATGACTGGTATGAGGTATACAGGTGAGATCTTAGAGCCCTATGTTCGACTTTTCAGGGGTGCAATTGATCCTGGGTTCATGTTGTAAGATTTTCACTGTTTTAATCTTAATTACTGTAGAAAGTGGCGAATCTTAAGAACTAGTTAGCGAATAATCGCTTAAGTTCGTGTGGCAAGAAACAACAAGATGGAAGGGTAACTAACCCTTTATTATTCCAATAAGATTTAACAAAACTCCATCTTGGAGTGTACAATAAAAGCCGACACTTGGACTTGAACTTAAGAAACTAAGAATTAAACTGAAACTAAGTTTAACTAAAGAAATATAGCCAAGCTATCAAGTTTCTAATGCAGTTGGCCCCTTAAACACCGGATGACTGCAAAGCTATCAAGGGCCTGCATACGGCCGAGCGTAATAACAGCTTTGAGAGAGAGAGAGTGGCTAAAAGGCATTCGCAAACCAGAAACTCTAATTCTCTCTCACTAAGGCCAAAGAACTTCGCAATTAAATACCGCTCTTCCTCGTTATGTATTCAGACGTGATTCTAAAACTACGTTCTGGTCGGAAGTAGTAAGTTGAAGTTAAGAATTTGACAGGAAAGGAACTTTAACTTAAAATTTAACTGTTAATAAAATTAACATAATCCTTACATAGCTTCCAACCAGACATTAAATACTCGAAAAATAAGGTTTCAAAACAACCTTGTTTAAGTACACAGTGATCTGCTTTTGCTTAAACCAAAATTAGAAAATTGCAAAGACTTGGTTCACAGAAACCTCAGCAACACTGGCTATCTACTAAATGTATCTCCTTTTTGACCCCTTTAGAGATTTGTTAGCAAAATTTTGTATTCCTGCAGAAATTTTAAGAGTTGTTTCCATTGCTGGCAGATTCCACAAGGGCATACTAAGTTCCAAGCAAAAAGTATTGCGATTTATTTATAAAAACTGTTGGAATTTCTAAGACAATGAAAGGAAAGCATAGGAAAATGGCAACGTTGCTTGACGTAAGGATCATTATGATTGCCTGAAGATTGTTTATGCCAGAGGTTGGTATATTCTTGAAAGTTTGGCCACTTCTAAGGTGGTTGCAATAACATGTAAATACCTTTCAAATTTTGAGCGCTTCATTATGGAAGTTTCTTCCATTTTTAATTTCTGATACATATAATTTTCAGATACATATAATTTTCAGCATGCTCTTTTTTAAAATGGCTACTGTTTTTCATGTGTTAGGTTGGCAAAAAAGTAGTCAGCAACAATTGTGGGAGCGATGGGCAGATAACGCTAAAGTATACCCTTTTTTTAAATAGCTAAGAAAAGATGAGAAGGCTTTCTTTCTTTTCTTTTCATTTCCCCCCTTCCTTTATTAATTTCAATGCAAACATTGATCCTGAGGCTGACATCAAATACAAACAATGGAAACCGTGTGCAATCAGTAGAGTGGTGAAATAAGGTACAGAGAACAACAGTGTTTGATGCCATTTTATATGCAATTGCCAAATAATACCCACTAGGGATGAGGGGGGAAGCCAGATTTCATTACAATAATACCCCAGTACACAGAATAAGTACCATAAGATATCAGTTCATAGTGGTAGGCACAGGATAGCAAGTAGTTCTGTAGAAATTCAAGTTTATGTGAAGAAAATGAAAAATTAATTTTCTTATTGAAATCTCAGTTATTGTATGAATTCTTAATTAAAATTTTTTAACATTTTTTTTTTCATTTTTTTGTCTGTTATTGTATCTAATGATATTTAAATCTGAATCAGTTGTTAGTTAAATTTAGTTTAAGGTGCTTCAGAAATCAAAAAAAGCCAATCTAAAGTCGAATCCCGCTAAATGCAAATTATTCAGACAGGAAGTGACTTACCTCGGACGTACGGACCAAGAAAAAATGTCAGCAGTTAAAGTTTGGAAAAGCTCCGAAATGTTCCATTAGCTCAGAAGTTTCCCGGGACTTTGCATCTACTATTGCAGGTTTGTAAAGAACTTTTATTCGATCACAAGACCCCTTCACAAGCTGACAAAGAGCAAGCATGAGTTCTAGTGGACCAAAAAATGTGAGGGTGCCTTTAACAAAGTAAAGGAGTCTTTAACATCTGCGATAGTCCTGATGTATCCTCAGCTTGACAAACCATTTATTTTCAACACCGATGTAAGCAATTAGTGTGTCAGTGCTGTTTTGTCCCCAAAAATAAATGGTCAAGAACGTGCCGTAGCATATTTGAGCAAGTATCTGAGTTACCAGGAAAGTGTTGCTTGCTATAGTTAAATGCATAGAAGATTTCCATCATTTATCTCTGGTAGAAAATTCCTGCTCCGCAACTATTGACATTTTTAATCTGGATTTTAAATTTTGAGAATCCCAAAG